CCTTCCAGACTGATATATATTCTATTTCACAATCCTCTTGCCCTCAACAATTTCATACACTGAAAAAGGGACACAGATAGGAACCTGTTCCAATTCCAGGGATGAACTAGTTCTGAGCCAAAATGTCCTTCACTCTGCGTGCTTCTTAAAAAGTGAACCATAATAAGATTTCAAATTTATTCTTTTAGATTCTGCAGAACTAGCGTATATAAATAAGTCTCTTTAATTGATCCAGGATTTTTAAAAGTTGATTTTTCAGTAGAATAATAGAACTGTAGAGTTAGAAGGAATGCCAAGGGACATCTAGTCCAACCCCCTGCAATGCAGGAATAATATGCATTGAATGAACATAAAAGAAATCCATACATTGCAAAAATGTAAACAAACCCCCTTCTCTTGCCAGAAGTCAAATGAGTATTCTTGTTCATATTCCATCTTCTTCAATCATGTTTGTTTACTATCTATTTTTGTCATTCCTTCAACAGGGATCATATATATAATAGCACTGTGGTCAACTAAAGGTGGCAGGAAACACACGGACATAGTTCTAACAAAGGAGAAACAATCTGGAGTCCAAGGCTGGTACAGCTGCAGCTGAGATGATGTTCTCCATTCTGGATGCATTAATATGTAATGAATAGCCACCAACTGGCATAGAAAGTGCCTGGATTCTTTCCCCCCTTCAATATTGATACATCATGGGTTATTTTATCGACAATTGCTATTCTCCATTCTTTCTTGAAAAATAAATCTAGTTCTACACCTAGTAAATCTCACCAGGTTTGGGCTATGGGGATTCTTGCTGCAACTAGGAACATCCTCAAGAGGCATTTTGTCTTGATATCTTCATTTGTCCTCCCAAAAAGAGAAAGTATAGACAACTGTGAGTGGGGGATGAAATCAATTTCCTCCTGAATTATCTCTGAGATCTCCTCTTGTACCACCTTGCAAAAGATCTGTACCTGTGAACAGGACCAACGCCTATGGTAATATGTTCCCTTAAAAACTTAAGAAGAACCACAGTGAAGACAGCCCAACCAAATTGCAAAGGCAGGGCACCTGTAGAATAATTTTGCAATAACTCAACATCCAGGGAGCACTTGGCTCCCTATGGTTCCCCACCCTCCCTAGTTCTGGTGGGGTGGGGTGGGGGGAGAAACTGGCTCCCAGTTCTATAAAGGGCCCGCTGCAGGTTGAGCAGCCCTTTCAGAATGCAGCAATTCTTCAGCAGAAGTGGCTGGCAGTGAGGTAGCAGGGCAAGGTGGAAGTGTTCATCTGTCACAGACACTAGACCCTGACAGCTCCCTGCTAGTGGCTGTCTCAGGCTTTGAAGAGTCAACTTATACATTAGATATGAGAAGACACATCTGTCTCTATCCATTATTCATGACCCACATTTCCATTCTGGATGCCACCAAGCATTTAAACGCTCATGTTGGCAGCACAAATAGCTGCGCTGCCCCTCCCCAAACAGCTTGTCTCTTCTTGGCTCAGCTGTAGTAGAGGAGTGTTGGTGGTGGCTTGGCCAGAAGGTGGAGAGAGCAGATGAGCTCCACCATACGCCATACATTTTAGCAATCTTCCCATCAGGGTGATTATGTCTCAAGCCATGATTTTGAGAGATATGCGTAGCTGAGACAGCAAGCATCATTCTTGGTGAACAGGTGGAGACTGGCAGGGAGTCGCTCACCAAAGGATGCTGGAAAATGCGTTCATTGGTGATGGTGGGATGGAAGTCTAGATTTATATCACAATGGAAAGATGATGAGGAGAGAGACTTTGTACCAACAGAACACTGTCAGGGCCTCAGACCAAGGGCCCTGCAGTCTTCACCACCTGGCTCTTAGAACTATATCCAGGCCACACATCCTCTTCCCAGGTCATACCCCTTACTGACCATGCTCCTCACCCTTGAGTGCCTTTGCCTGACTGGAGGGTGTGTGTGTGTGTGTGTGTGTGTGTGTGTGTGTAAATCTCTGATTTGTGTGTGACTAGAGTCACATCTGTTGGGTTGAGGCTAGGATGCAGCTGGGGCCTAACCTGCTGTAGGTGCTGCACAGCCTGGCCAGACTGAGGTCTACTCTGCTACTACATCTCTGGGGCTCCCTGCAGCTGAAAGGAGGGCGTCTGTCATTTGTCTGGAATTGTATCCTTGTGTAAAGGAGGGATTGTTGTTTTCTTGGTATCCTGGTGTAAAGGAAGGCCTGGTATTCTTGTGTTTATCCTTGTGCAAAGGAAGGGTTCTGCATACCCTCCAACATTTCTCTGATGAAAATAGGGACATCCCATCCCATAATGATGGTTTTTACTATTTATACCCCACACATCTTACTGCATTGCCCCAGCCACTCTGGGCGGCTTCCAACATATACAAAACATAATATAACACTAAACATTTTAAAAACCCTTCCTTATGCAGGATTGCCTTCAGACAGCTTGGGGGTCAGGTAACTCCATACTCTCCAACATTTCTCCAAAGAAAATAGGGACATCTTAAGGAAAAGTGGGACATTCTGGCTTCAAATCGGAAACTGGGATGGAAAACAGAGACACTTGGAGGGTCTGGATTCTGTATCCTTGTGAATGCGAAGCCTGCTGCTTGATAAATTTCAGACTTTCTTTACTGCTTGTGTTCTGAGTCTGCTTCAAAGATCCCTAACAAAGAAACCTTTGGCCTTTGGCAAAACACCTGCATCCCTCTGAGGTCTTCCACAGGGAATTCTATCCCTTTGGCTGAAATGGGTCCCCTAACGCTGCCTTGTAGTGCTAGGGGGTTGTTGCTGTTCAGGAAGTACACCACCATGGTACAGCTGCAATCTAATGTTTCCAGGGTTTAGTCTGTCTAACTCAGGGGCAGCCCTATCAAATGATATCAGATTCCAAGTCCCATCATCCCTGAGCATTGGCCATGCTGGCTGGGGCTGTTGGGAGTGTGAAACCAACAAGTAGGTCACTATCTCTGGTCCAACTTGTGCAAGAGGAGCAATGTTGCTAGAAAGAACATTAGCAGAGCCTGCTGGATCAGGCCAATAGCCCATCTAGGCCAGCATCCTGTTTTCACAGTGGCCGACTAGAAGACCTGGATAGAAGGCCACAAGCAGGATCCAAGCAGAAGAGCAACTCTCTACTCCTGTGGCTTCAAGTGTTTCTGGAAAGTACAGACAGTAGGAGCCTGTCTTATCTCGGCAAGAATGCTGTTTCACAGGACAGGGACAGCCATACTAAAAGCCCTGCTTTGAGTTACTGGTGGAGTGGGCTGCTGAGATCTTTGGAAGTTGCATCAGAAACTCTCCAACAGATTGCATAATCTATCAAGTGTATAAAGGATAAGAAACTTGCCCAAACCAAGGAGTTCTGCAGTCTGTGTTCTTGCTCCCTGGAATCTTCCTCAGGGACTAGATCAGGGTCATGATAACAGCACTCTTTCCACCAACTTAGACATAGAGTCTTTTGAATTTAACTGCATTGCAAGATCAGAGCGCCAAACCACTTCCGAAACGGAAACTAGATTCTTCCAAGGGACAGAGTTGATGAAATTTATATCCCTGTTAAATTTAGTGAACTAGCATTAAACTGCTGCTCATTTAAGAATGGAAAATGGCAAGTGTGCTATTAAAATTCTGTGCCTTGAGCTGTCCCGGGAGTTTGACACGTTTTGTTCAACCGTGCAGAGGCAAACTCACCAGCTCCTGTAGTAGTTTTAATTCCTCCTCCCACTCATTGAAAATGAACTTTGAAGCAATCCTGGATTCCTTGCAATATGATGCTAATATTCATAGCTGATATGTATTCCTCTTCTGCGAGGGCTTGAAGCTTAATGGGAAGCCAATCAGGAATCACTAGAACTTATGGATAACCAATGAAGCCAAGTGTTGGAAGATTCTGGATTGGTAAAGGGAAGTCGTTCTTCATGCAGCACATAGCTAAACTATGGAAATCACTGCATTGCTCCCTGGTGAGGAAGCACTTTTGTGCTCAGTTCCTGCACCTAGGTTTCTCATTGGGGCATCTGGTTGGCCAGTGTGAGAACAGAATGCTGGATTAGATGGGCCATTGGCCTGATCTATCAGGGTCCTTCTTATGTTCTTAAAGATGCAGTGATGATGATGATATAATAGAAAGCTGAAAACTGGGAGACACTTAGACCAAAGACACATATTTAATCATATTAAGCCTGTACACACAGAATCACCCATGCAAGGCTGCTCAAAGGATTATAAAGAGCTAATGGCATACATGTGATGCTCTGGACCCTTGAGAGAAAGCGTGTGGTTGTTGCAGTTTTTAATGCCTTGAGGTTCAAAAAACACCTTGAGAATGCTCATTAAAGTACAACTTTGAAAACAGATGGTTTGAAGCCGGGCAGGTATTACATGAGAAAAAATGCTGCAATATTTTAAGATTCCTTCCTGTAAATATCACCTTCCCCAACATTGCACTATGGCAGAAACTGGGATACTGTTAAATGGGTGTTCTCTTAATACAGTGCAGTTTATTACAAAGGATTAAGCCTTGTGCATATGATTAATAGTATATTGTACTTAAATAAGTAAATGTTATCTTGTTCAGGACAGCACTCCAATCTCTGTTGCTCTCCATTCTGCGCAGTACATCATAGCTAATTACTGTAATAACAATAATCATGAAAAGCTCATTTGGCCTTAATGTGGGCATGTAATCCTGCTCTGAATGCACAGCAATTAATAAAACTCAACTGTTTCTGCTTGAATGTACTTGGCGTTCTAGCTTGGGGAGGGGCTGCCCCTCAAGGAGGTTACCTGTTGGACCTCTGCAGGAGTTACTGCTCTTGCCTTGCCTCTGAGCGCAGGCTACTCTTCTTTCTCTGCAAATGTACAGCAAATAACCCTCCTACTCCCCTGGAGGCTGGCTACTGTCTCTCTGCATGACTATATACTCTGGATCCATCTCCCTTTGATCAGAGTATCTGCTGTTCCAAGGTGGATTGATCTTATATTTAAGAAAAACAAATCTATTACACTTGTATAGTTCATTCGGTAGAGCATCAGACTCCTAATCTCAAGGGTCATGGATTCAAGCCTCCATGCTGGGCAAAAGATTACTGCATTGCAGATGGTTGGAGTAGATGACCCTTGAGGTCCAACTCTACAGCTCTATGAAAATACATTAATAAAAATAGCACAGTGGCAGTCAAAGCCCTTCCCTTAAAAAAAAAAAATCATTTCCCAAAGGCCTGTTGGAATAATGCACTCTTCACTTTCCGGCAGAAGGACAACAAGGAGGAAGCTTCTCTAGGGAGGGAGTTTCAAATTCTGGGAGCAGCCACTGAGAAGACCCTGTGAGGGTTTTGGGACTGAGAGAAGGCCCAGGCAGGCTCATATGTGAGAATATGGTCTTTCAGATAGCCTGGATCTAAGCTCACATTTACTTTGTACCCATAGAGACTTTTAACTAGGAAGCTTCTGGGACAGGAATAAATAATGCATAAAAAGGGGCTGGCTTCTTTTGTATGTGTGATCGAGATGTGTGAACACATCAACTCCCTTCTGAACTGAAGAATATCAAGTTTCCACAGCCCCCAACTTCACCTTTGAGGTTTTGCATTGCTTTTATTTCAGAGAGTGCCAAAAAAACAAAACCACCAATTATTCCTGCTAGTGAGCCGGCTTGTGATTTCATACTTAATTAATTGTGTCTGTCCATTTCCTTTGAAAAGTTAATTTAAAGCAAGGGAGGGGAAGAGAAAGAGAGAGGAAGAGAGAAAGCCCCTGGTTATTTTCTATATTTGAACACAGCATTTTCATTTCAATTAAAACACGGATGCAGCAATTAGCTCTCAATTCAGGTCCCCTGTGATGAAATACTGCATAAGGTCATGCGATATAAACTCATAGAGATGCTGTTTCTCTTCTCACAATCAGCACCTGGAAGTGGACAGCAACAGACTTGGAAAAGAGCAACGTGTTACCTCTGCGTTGGCTACAGACATTGACTATTGTCTTGTGTTTTTTAGGTTCTGCTGTCCCATATTTTTTCCTCTGAATTTGTTGCACAAGTGACCTGGTCCAGTGGATCTGTACAGAGTTATGTCTGTTCCTCAAACTCTGGAGGGCTTCTGCCAGTCAGTGTAGACAATACTGAGATGGATTGGCCTGGGCTCATCTCCAACATCATAGAATTGTAGAGTTGGAAGGGACCTAAAGGGTCATGTAGCCCAACCCCCTGCAATCTCAGGGATCATGACTTCAAGAGGCCTCAGCTTGAGACTTTAGAGACTGATTAGCTGTCAGAATGGGGATGCGGGTGGCGCTGTGGTCTAAACCACTGAGCCTTGGGCTTGCTGATTGGAAGGTCAGCGGTTCAAATCCCTGCAGTGGGGTGAGCTCCTGTTGCTCAGTCCCAGCTCCTGCCAACCTAGCAGTTCGAAAGCACGTCAAAGTGCAAGTAGATAAATAGGTACCACTCTGGCGGGAAAGTAAACAGTGTTTCTGTGCACTGCTCTGGTTTCTCCAGAAAGCAGCTTAGTCATGCTGGCCACATGACCCGGAAAAACTGTCTGCGGACAAATGTCAGCTCCCTCGGCCAGTAAAGCAAGATGAGTGCCACAACCCCAGAGTTGTTTGCGACTGGCCTTAACTGTCAGGGGTCCTTTACCTTTACCTTAACTGTCAGAACACACAATATTAGAATACACAATACAACAGCATCATATTTTCCTCTATGTAGAGCAGTAACTCATGAAGAGACTCAACAGAGAGCCTTCTCTGCAAGAGGATGTTTGTGCCATGTTTTTTTATTGGAAGATATTTCATCATCCAATTGCATCTGACATGTTGATGTGGCAAAATTATCTACACCCAGCAGAGGCTGCTTGAAAGCAGGAGAATCCAGACTGATGTGGAAATGTGGCAAACCAGAGTTAAGACTGGGAAAACATGACACTGAAAGACACTGGAAAAGGATTTGTCCATCCCTAGTGTGCACACACTGTGTGGAGTTAAGCAGGACATGTGAGCTCTCTCTCTCGCTAGCAGCGTTTATGTACGCTGAGCTAACAACACTGTTTCCTAGCTTGCCTTGGGTGGTTTTCCAACAGGAGGTGTTATGGAAAAGGTCTAACCTTCAAACTAGCACTGCGTGCGGATGAGACATCCCCGGGACACTCCAGTGTTGGCTTTTTCCTCCCTGGGTAGCTTGTAGAAGAGAGTGAATGGAAAAGGAGAAACACGTTTCCAATTACCACCATGTCCTTTCCGGCACCTTTCCTGTTGTCACAGCATGTTTTAAATCAGACCTACCGGGAGGAAAAGGGGAGGGTAATGAAATGTGAATGCTCAAATGAAAGTGAGAAAGAAGTCAGAAGCGACAGCCCATAGCCTATGGAAGACGTTGGCTGTATAAATTGTTTCCTCTGACTTCAGATGACTCCATCGCAGCCAGGGTAGAAGGGAACTCAGATCTCTTCCTCCTCCTTGCCACTGAGAGAGAGTTTAGTGTAAGACCTGGGAGACCAGGATTGACCTGGATGACCTTGGGCCAGTCATTGTCTCTTAGCTTAGCCTGCCTCACAGGGTTGTAATGTGGATATAATGGGAAGGGGGAAGACCCATGTCTACTCAATGAGCACCTTGCTACCTGATCCTAGAGCTGTGCAAGCCCAGCCACCCCCAATGTGGTTTGGATCCGAATTGGGTTGTATTGGACATACAGTGATCTAGAACAAACTGGGACCTCATCATGATCACTGCATTGGATCCCAAATTCAGTTAGATGTGCCCAAGTTCTTACCATCAAGAATTTTCTCCTAATGTTCCACCAAAACCGACCATCCTGGAACTTAAGGCTGGTCTTGCCCTCTGGGAGCAGCAGAGAGCAAGCCTTTTGGCCTCTACTGTGGGACAGGGTTCAGCTATCTGAATGAGTGTTGGCACATGTTCAGTCATTCAGGTTGCAGAGGGCTGGTTGAAGTGATGGTGGGAGCTATATGCTGGCAGGCAGCCAACAATAGTGGCAAAAGGCTCTCTACCTCCTAAAGGATAAGGCACATAAGGCTTTTCCTCAGGTCTACGCAAGAAGGAAACCATGGTTTTCTTCTGCAAAACACTGAAGGGCATGTACCCTTTTTTCAAGGATCTCAAGGTGGTTCTCTTTGGGGTGACCCTTACTTTGCCACTGCAATCCTGTGAGGGCAGTCTCAAAGGCAAAATTTACTGCTGGTCTTGGTGGGAAGGCTACATATTGGGTCTTTCTCATACTATAGTCTAGAGTGGATGTGGGGAACTTGTAGCCTTCCAGATGTTGTGGACTATGGCTCCCATCGTCCTTCACCACTGAACATGCTGGGTGAGGTTGATGGGAGCTGGAGCCTAGCCAGTGGCGGAGCTCCATGCTCTGGCACCAAGGGGCAGAGAGCAGGTGCGGGCAGGACTGGTGCATGTCCCTGGGCCATGGCGTGCTGCCTGCAGGTGCATGATGCACATCCTGGGGGCGTGAAGCACTGCCTGCCGGGGCATGGTGCCCAGCACTTGTGGGGGGCAGCCGTGATGGCGCCCCACTGGGATCGCGCTGCCAGTGGTGGTGCACTCCCCCTGCACTCCTCTTCCTCTGCCAGTGAGCCTAGCAACATCTCACAAGGATGTTTTGCCAACCCCAGAGGCTCTGCTGACTTTGTGTTCCCAACTAGACCCCTTACAGAAAAAGCAAACAGCTCCAACAAACTACATTGCTGGATCTATATGTTTAGCACATTACGACGAAAGAATGCCAACATCCCCCCACAGTACATGCCCATTCATGTGTAGATTTTAATTCGACGCAGCCATCTCTAAAGGACATAATTGTCAATTCCAGCATCCTGAGTTGAGATATTTAAATTAGGCTGGAGAAATTATATTCCATATTGAACGCTTCTGAGCTCTTTGCTTCATTAACCACGTTGCCAGCAAAGGCCTGGCAATTGGAAAGCAAACGTCTGCGTCTTTCATTACTGAGACTCAGTTCAGACATTACGTGGTCTGCCCAGATGCCCATGCCACTGCTGTAAAAGTTCTCACCCCTAAATTTTGTGATGACGAGGAAGATGCCTGGGGAGAGACACCCCACACACCTTCTCATTGCAAACAGACTTGGTGTCTGGGGAAAATACGATGGGGAGAAAGTCACTCATCATCTTTCCTGTCACCACAGTCATCCAGAGAGAGAGGCAGGCAGGCAGGCAGGCAGACAGACAGGGAATATGAGACCAAGCCATGATATGAAAGCCATCTTCAAATATCAGAAGGGGTGTCACACAGAAGATGGAGAAATCTTGTTTTCTCCTACTTCCAGAGCATTGGATCCAAAGCAATGGATTAAAAATTCAAGAAAGGAGATTCCAGCTAAACATTAGGATAAGGTTACCAGACGTCCCCGTTTCCCAGGGACAGTCCCTGGATTTACAAATCAGTCCCCATACAAAATCCATTGAAGTTGAAAAGTGTCCCCGGATTCATTGGGGGGGGGGAATCTGGTAACCTTACATTAGGAAGAACCTTCTGATGGTAAGAGCAGTTTGACAGTGGAATGGATTTCTTTGGAAGTGGACAGACTCTCTTTCACTGGAGGTTTTTAAACAGAGGTCAGGTGGCCATCTGTCAGGGACTCTCTGGCCATGATTCCTGCATTGCAGGGGAGAGCTACAGCGTGAGACTCTTAATCTCAGTTTTGTGGGTTCCAGTCTCATGTTGGGCAAAATATCCCTGCTTTGCAGGGACTTGGGCTAGATGACCCTTGTGTTCCCTTCCAATTCTGTGAATCTTGGGCAGGATGACCCTCGGGGACCCTTCCCCTTCACAATTTGATGTTTTTATGAGCACGGCTGAGATCTGCACTCCTAATTTACCCCAGCCATTTTTTATTTTTAAAGGGAGGCTGCTGCTGTTTTAGCTGAGCATCAGTAGCGCTGACGCTCAGCTACCTTTTCAATAGAATCAGTTGCCCAGAAAGTAAGAGAAACATACTTTTAATTACCTCTCTCATTCCTCCAGCTTGTAACTGTCAATGTTACGCATCACGTCTCTTTGCATTAGGGGGGCTAATTTGGAGTGGCATCTTTA